CATATTCTCTCATATATTTTTGCAAACGAGCCGCTCGCTCGCTCAAAACAGTACCCACCGCAATCACAACTAGCTGCAGCGGCCTCTGCATCACTAGAAGTGCGCAGTCGGAACCCGGAAGAGAGCGAGGGGCAGTCAGTTCGATCATAGTACTTGCCTCCTGCACCCTTGCTTCTGAAACACAACATACATCAATGCAGAGGGAACCCAAGATACGAGCAAGAGCCATCTGTTGACCTGCTTGCTTCAGTGTGCGAACGCCAAAGGCGGTTAATTAGATAGGCTTTCAGGGTTTGAAAACAGACTTCGAAGTGTTCAGGGTTGTGACTGAACTCAGGCGTACAGAAGCTGCACTGGAGTGTGATGCAATGCGAGCAAAACGGTTAGTCCTAGGGCTGGAACCTGTGGAGAAAGTATTCAAAACTGGTTGGAGGGTGTAAGACGGAAATCTTGAAAGTGTAAGAAGGGAGGCGCTAGCAGTAGCACGTTTTCGCTTACCTGTTCTGCTGTACGCAGCAAGTAAGGCTTCCCGGCTGATGGCACCACGCAGCGGCCGATGTGGCATGAGAGCATTGTTAGCTGTAAATGTCCCAGTAAGATAACGATAGCGGCTTTAAGTTACCAGACCGTAACGCCTGTACCTAGACAGGAGGATGTTTTGGGTCCTCAATGAAAGCCTTTCGCTCAAAAGCATAACCTCAAGTCAGTGGTGTTTGGCTGGAAATGCAAGCACATTACCATTTTCACGTAACACGTCGCCACACATGTATCAAACCCCAACCTGGAGGGCCAGGAGACTGTGGTCGTCAGACATCTACCCAGAGACCAACCTGGTATGAGAGAGTCTGAGTTACGCGTAGACATCCCTTAGTATAGCTCAGTGGGTCACTGTTCGGGGGCCAGCCGTCCCTAATAACCGAACGTCACATCATTTGGACGCATGTGTCACGTGCAGGACACGGGCCAGACGTGGGCATGCCCTGATTGGTCAGAATGCCAGCCAATCCGAGTAAAGCACCTTGACTCGACGGTTCTCGCCCCCTCACGGACATTCTGGC